AGCGTACCCACTCCAAGACGACTCGACAGAGCGCAGGGGAAGAAGCCTGCCCTGCCAGCCCCGACCCCCCAAAGGGGGGAGGGGCCACCCAACGCCACCGCAGGCCGCGAGACACGACCCGAAAGGCCCACGAATCGTGGGACCAGGCGCGGGCGAACAGCGCAAGCCGCCCCCCCATCGCCCCGTCAAGGGGGCAAACCGCGAAAGGGCCGGCGACCCTTACGAGACCCAGAACCCCGCACAGCGTGAACACCGCGCCGACCAGACGAGGGAGGGTCCGCAGGAGGAGCCAACCCCAAACCTGACACCAGAGGCCTACCACGACGAGAGGAACCCCGAGCCCTGGCACGACCTTTCCGGGAAGACCCACCCCGGGACCCCCGGAAAACCAACAAGTCCGACATCGGACGACAAGCCGCCGACGCAGCCTGAATAAACTGCGCCACGGCCGACTCCCCAAACAGGAGAGGACAAAAAGGTGAAGAACGCCTAAGAGCCAGAGCCCAAGCAGATTCCACGGAGGAACCCAGCACCGCCTGCCAACACGCGAGACGGGAAGCATAGAACAGGGAAACCGCATCCCGCAAAATCGGCGTGAACAGCTTCAACAAGGCAGCCGACGAACGCGCAGCCGAGGACAAGGTGCCGGACCCCGGGACGGACCCAAGCATCCCCACATCCTCCACGAGCCAATCCGAAGACAGCTCCAGGAGGGAAAAGAACCGCAAGGCCGAACACAAAAGGCCCCGGGCGCGCAAGTCCTCCGCCACGAGCGCCGCCGAAAGGGAGGGAACCTGCACATGGAGCTGAAGAACGCCCACATCGCGGGGAAGGGCAGGGGCAAACAAGCACTCATTCAGGTACTCAAGTTCACCCCCCAGGAAAACCTGAAGCACCGTGGAAGCTTCCCACCACTCCAGCGTGCGGGAACGACAGAAGGAATGCCAGGAATCCAGACCAAACAAGGGGCAGTCTGCTAGCCAGGACGACTCCGGAACCTCGTAACGGAGCCAGAAAGGGAACGAAGTCCCAAACCTGAACGTGGACGGATCCATTTCCGAGGCATAATCCGGGTCACGCAGGAGGTAAGCTGCAAAGGCCGCTCGCACCACACCAGGTTGGATGCGATAAGCCGAAAACCTCCGGAAGGACGGAACCGACGTACCCGGGGGAACACGGAACCGAACCCGGGGAGGGGCCGACACCAAATCCAACTCGTACGCAGAGGGGGGAAAAGAAAACCCCACTCCTTGTAACAATAAGCCCCGCTCAGTGGGAAGAAAAACCCAGGCGGGGTCCAGCGGGGCCCAAAGCCCCCAAGTCAGCCCCTCCCCAGCCTCGAGGTCCGTCACCACAGGACCCGAGGCCGAGTCCTCTCCCCAAGCCCCGACCCCACAAGACAAGGACGGAGCAGCCGGAAAAGCTGGAGGAAGGTGGGCCCACTGGTCAGACCCTGAAGCTTCGGCCGGGAGACAAGACTCGAATGCCTCTGCCGCCCCCCCGGAAGGGGCAACCCCCGAAGCTGCCCGAGTCTCGAGATCAAGTAACCCCTGCTCCGACCCCGAAACCCTCAGACGCTTCGGGGCCGGAAGCAGGGGCGGGGGACCAGAACGAACAGAAGGGGAAGGACGAGGAGGTGCGGACTGAACCAGGATCGTAGCGACCCCCACCCCCAAGTCCGGGTCTCGAAAAGCAAAGCGGGGCAGCCCCGGGGCATCCGGGGAAGCAACCAACCGAGCGCGTTGCAACAGACGAAACCTAGACTGCAACGCACGTGCCGCCCGTACCCGAATAGAATCATCAGAGGATTGGGTAAATTGAGTCACAAGCAAGCAGCAACACTCACAGGACTCAGGGTCGAAAATATCACCGACCCAACAGGCAGCGTGGCAGAGGCAAAAACAATGAGGGTCACCCTGAGACAAGGGGACCGAGCAACCCTCAAACTCGCACACAGCGAGTGGGGACTCCGGGGTCACATCCATCGGACCCACGCGCCCCCTAGGGGATTCCCAGGGTCCTGAGCGTTTACTTTAAGAGGACTCGCGCTCAGGTAGTCCCAGGCAGGGCGCTGCAAACCGGCGCCCAAAACTACCAAGCAAACTTCTAAAGCTGAACCCCAGGGACGTGTACACTCACGGGGACCTAGCAGGGGGCGCCATCGAGGAGAACAGTGGAAGGGCAAAAACAAACTGAATAAAATGACAGAACCCCCCACCAGGCAAAAACAAAAAGAAAAACAAAACCCCGCAAGAGGACAGCGAACCCCAAGGAACAGAGCCGGCCGCGATGTCGGGAAATACAAGCTGAGCAGCACCCTGCGCCCCTACCAGTGCAAACTGCCTCTTACCTGCCGGTAACAAGGGAGAACAGAACACCCAAGAGCCCAACAGGCGGCCGAAAAACTGAAAGGTAAAACGGACCAGCAGAGGCAGACCCCGAGGAGCCTGTGGAAGGTGGCCCCAAGCCCCAAGGGCAGTACTTACAGGGCACCTAGGGAAGGCAGCCCTAGGCGCATGCAGCCCGAGTACTGAAGATAACTCCTGGCTCTCGCACCCACAAAACTAACACCACACGCAAAGCACAGTGCAGTAGCGACACCGGAGCCAGAGCACACGACCATCGCCTATAGCATCAGCCTCAAGAACTGAGGTGTGGGTAGCCGGCGCGGGGGGTCTGGGGCTCCCCCTTCCCCCTCCCGGGGAGGGGGGAGCTGTGCAGACAGCGGCGCGGCAGTGTGTGACGTCACACTAGTTTGCTTGTTTTCGGTTGGGGAGTTCTATCCACTAGTTCGGTTTTAGGTAGCAATTTTAACCAGAATAGGGGTTTGTTTTGGGGCGCTTACCTTTCTGGGTGCCTGTTCCGGTCGATGGCAGACATAGAATGCTTCCAACTACACGGGGGCTTCTATAGGCCATTGCTCCCCTTGCCTCTCTGAGGGGGCCCGGTTCTGGCCGTGGTCCCCGGTAGGCCTAAGAACTCCATACACATGACTGATGCCAAAGTCTGACATTAGCATATCAGCCTGGGATAGCTCCGGGGAGCCGACGGGGCTCCCCCCAGAAAAAAGGGGGAACATGACTGAAAAAGCAGCACAAATACAATAGGTTGACAAACAGTGTTGATTAAAAAAAAAGAAAATAACAGACATGGGTTGACAATAGAGGAGTGAGGTAGATTACAGGGAATTTATTAGGTAGTGTTTAGTTTTTATCTTAAACTGGTTGAGAGAGGTACAGTCTTTAACATGGTTGGGAAGGTCATTCCACATTCTGGGCCCCTTGATTTGCAGAGCATTTCTAGTTTGATTAAGACGTACTCTAGGAATATCAAAACTGTATTTATTTCTGGTGTGGTGCTCATGGGTTCTGTTACAACCTTCTATGAAGCTTTTAAGATCAGGATTGGCATTATAGTTTAGCGTTTTATATATGTATAATACACATGAGAGAATGTGCAGTGACTTAATATCTAACATATTCAGAGATTTGAGTAGGGGTACCGAGTGATGTCTGGGGCCAGAGTTGGATATTGTTCTAATAGCAGCTTTGTGTTGGGTAATTAGAGGACGTAAGTGATTTTGGGTAGTAGAACCCCAAGCACAAATACCATAGTTGAGATAAGGATAGATAAGGGAGTAATAGAGAGTCACCAGGGCAGGGCGTGGTACATAATATCTGATCTTAGAAAGAATGCCCACAGTTTTTGAAACTTTTTTTGATATATTTAGAATGTGACCCTGGAAATTCAGCTTGTGGTCAATGAGAATGCCAAGGAATTTGCCATCTAATTTGTTACAAATTTGGGTATTGTTTATTTTGAGATTTATATGACTAGAGGATTTATTGCCAAACAGAATATAGAAAGTTTTGTCAATGTTAAGGGTGAGTTTGTTGGCAGTTAGCCAAAGATGGACTTTATTTAGCTCAGTATTTACTGTGGCATTTAGAGCAAGAGGGTCAGGACTGGAGTAAATGAAGGTTGTGTCGTCAGCAAATAGAATTGGTTTGAGGTGTTGGGAGGCATTTGGAAGGTCATTAATGTAGATGAGAAAGAGGAGAGGGCCAAGTATGCTGCCCTGAGGAACACCAATGTTGATGGGTAGGGTGGGAGAAATTGTATTATTCACAGAAACATATTGGAGCCTGTCAGTAAGGTAGGACTCGAGGTATTGAAGGGAGTGTCCTCTGACTCCATAATGATGTAATTTAAGAAGAAGGAAAAAAAGTAGAAAGCAGCATCTGCCTCCTGGAGCATGAATGCAAACAGTTTAGGCAAAACCACTGAGGCCACTATGGCAGGCAACAAGGCAAACACACCCAATGCCAGGCAAAATAAACAAACATCCCAATCAGGGGGAAAATAAAAAATAAAGTAGCCAAGTACAAGTGAGCCCACAACTCATTCGCAACGAAAACAGCAGACAACAACTGTTGAGGTATGAATCTTCCTAAAACATCTGAAATACCAGACGGCTTGCAAAACGAAGAAGAAAACGAAGAAGAGGCAGTATCAATTCCAAATGCAAGCTGCAGTGGCTCCACAAACACAGCATGATACGATGTGACAATATTCAGCATAAAATTCTGGTAAAGAAAAAGCCAGGATGAAAAAAGAACCACCTGCTCAAAAACTGAAGAACAATGACAAGGAGACAAAGTGGTGAAATGAATGCCACGACACCTAATACTGCTGCCTCAAGGAGGACTCCAGATGGGACACCAGCTCAGCCACCTAATTACTTTAGAGATGGCAATAAACACAGGCCAAAAACTCCAGATGTGCACATAAGACGAGAAGGCCGAACTAGCGAAGCACGTCACCGGGCCGACCTCCTGAAAGAGGAGCAGCCACTGAAAAATGCCCAAGTTCAGACACCTAAGCAAGCAGCACCTGAAACTATTGCTGAACTGGCCATCAAGAAGCCAGAAGGATCACCTTTTCCCTATAAGACCTATAAAAAAACTTTCCCCCTATAAAAATGATTGAAAACTACTTACCTAGGGTCATCATTGCAACTTTGAATCCCATTCCATGTGCTCCCAGCATATTCTCTGAAGAAATTTGACAGTCCTCAAAAATAAGATTACATGTTGAAGATCCACGAATTCCAAGTTTATCTTCTTTTTTCCCCAAGGACAGACCTAAAATTGCAGATACAGTAAAGAAAAAAAGATGGTCAGTTGCACTGTATTTGTAATAACAGCTCTTCACAAAAAACAAAATCATCTTCATCTGTCTGTTTCTCAGCTTGCAATTAGTCACTATGAGTATTATACCCAAATATGTAATGATTGCTTGAAATTAGAAACTGAAAATAGAAGTCATTTACAAAGATAAATATGACGCTATTACAAATCATGCTGATGATGTTGCACCACTACAGTGCAAATGTCACTTTAAAATAAAATACAATTACAGTATGATAAAAGACTATAACATTAGTGTATATACTGGCAGTACTATAGCACTCCCGGATACAGCACAAAACCTACACAGTAAACTCAATATCTACTTACCCGCTGTTGGCTTAGGGACAATAAATGCAGATATTCCTTTGTGTTTTTTAATCCTATCCGTTGTAGCAAAAACAACAGCTGCTTCAGCTTCAATGCTATTGGTGATCCAAGCTTTAGTGCCATTTAAGATATAACTATTGCCTTCTTCCTTAGCCATGGTTGATGCAGCACCTGCATCACTGCCATTACCTGAGAATTAAGATTAAAATAATATTTACTTAACTAGTACTGTACTGTAATATAACTTGATGTAAGTTGTCTACTTGAATGATGTATATATGTATAATGACAGCACATGCACAATAGGCTTACTATTTATAAAGAAAAAAAAACTACTAAGAAAAATAAATATTACACTGTATATTATCTCGAGTGATTAATGTGAATTATGGAGAGAGGAGGGCGTTACAAAAACGAATTAAATGTTATAAAAGATGCAAGAATTTTCCACAGTAAAACCAAAGGAGGATAACAAACCGGGTTCAGAAAGAGCAAAACATCCAATGCGTTCTCCTGTTGTAAAGGGTGTAATCCATTCTTCTTTTTGCTTGGCACTACCAAATGCCTGCAGTGGACCCAAGTACAGTGAGTTGTGCGCACTCATTATGACCCCAGCACTTGCACAACCTCTGAAGATAAAATAATCTTTATGCACATATTTTTTTAATAATTATTTAAATTTGTTTGGCTTTCTCATGTACAATTTTCCTTGGACATTTAACCTACCTTCAATCATAACTTTATAACAAAGAGTACCAGGAGAAGCAGAGGAACAGGATAAGGGAGATTGTAAGAAAAGCAGAAAATGGGGGGAAATTTAAATCAAGGAAATAAAGTTGTAAAAGTTGTGAAAGTTGAAAAAACCAGCATTGAATGTAATGAAACACCATTTTCTGGGTGAGCCCTGGAGGCTCCCAGGAGCTATAGAACTGATATACGCTAGATTAGTCTGGGGCTTCAGTCAATGGAGGTCTGCCTACCATGGACTACCAGCCAGAACCTGGTCCCCTCAGAGAGGTGCAGGGAGCAATGGTCTAGGGAAACCCCCTCGCTGGGAGGGGGAAGCCCTGGACCCCCACACGGGCTGCCCAGCTCCTCAGTTTGGAGGCTGAGCATCAAAACGAAATGCCGAGGGAGGGAAGGTGCTAGGGAGCCTCCGGGACTCGCCCAGAAAATGCCGTTTCATTATATACAATGCTGGTTTTCTGTGGGGAGCCCCTCCGGCTCCCTGGAACAACATACCCACAGATAAATAAAATAGGGAAATATCCAGGAGGCGGTCGCACCACATGCCACAACACGAAAACGAAACAACTGGCTGCAACCTGCGACTCAAAGCAATATAGGAACGACTGGAACCAGGAACATTTACCAAAAAGAACGAGCAGCCAGGACCCTGTTTGTCCTCCAAAACCCCTGCACCCGAATGTCAGCCCAGGACATGTTCCCAAACACAGCAGCAAGAGCAGCATACTTATGAACATCACGGGCATGAGGGTAGATTGCAGGCTGGCTAGACTTAATAACCCTGCGGACTACCCGAGAAACCCGAGCCCTAGAACAGGGAATGAGGGAAGTCGGATAAACCCAAAGCGTGTCCCAGCCACAGAAGCCGAGGCACACAGGTAACGGCATAGAGCTGTAACTGGACACAACACATGATGCACCCCCAGCCCCACCAACCAAGCACAAAAAACCCAAGGGCCCCTCGGGAAGCCCGCCAGCTTTGCTTCCCAGAAAAGAAGGAGACGGCTGCAACCAAAGAAAACATCCACCAGGACCAAAAGAGAAGAGACCTCTGTACTGGAGGAGAGCAGGTCACACCCCGACCCAACCCCCAGAGGCCAATGCCTACAGAAACAAAGCCTTCCGAAAGGAAACATGAACCTAAGGGGCCACCACAAACCGAGAAGAAAGAAAAGAGAGCACATGGGTCCAAGGACCAGGATGGCTCAGGTGTCGCATGAGCAGGCCGGAGGCAAAACAAAGCACAAGAAAGCTTACAGAATGGGGTGGAAGGGATATCCACCCTGAACGCAAGCTGGAGAGGCTCCACAAGCGCCACACGATAAGAAGTGACAGTACAGTATTTGGCATAAGATGACGGTCCTGAAAAAGCCAAGAAAGGACAAAACAACCCAAACAAAATAGAAGACAACCTACGAAGAGAAGGGGGAAAATGTGAAAAGAATACCAAGAGGCTCCATACTGCACCAAGACGAAGACTGCAGGTGGGGCACCTTCAACGAAGCCACCTGATCACCAAACAAGAGGTGATACACCCGTGTCAAAAAGACCAGATGCAAAGAGCTGAGGAGTAGATCGAACTAGCCACTGAAACGGACTGGCCAGAGCTCCTGGAAGAGGCAGAGCCGCAGAAAATGCCCCAGGTTTGGACACCGAGCAAGCAGCGCCTGAAACCAAGGCTGGGCCGGAGCCACAAGGACAATTCTCTAGCGGGAGGACTCCAACCGAGCCAGACACGAAGCATTGGCTGGACCGGGCAGGAAGAGATACAAGGAACCCCACCTTGACCAGTCCTGTCGAAAACCATCCACCGTGACAGCACCACAGTTGGGGTAGGGCGCCATAAATATCGGGAGATTCCAGGACCACGCCAACGCGGTGTAGTTCATCACCTGAGGCCCCATACATCTGGTAGAACCAACTAAAAGAGTCGGCATAAGCTGTCCATTTTGTGGACAGAGGAATGAACTGTGACAGGCCGTCTGCCAGGACGTTGAACACTTCCCAGATGTGAACCACATGGAGAGCTAAACCCTGAGAATCCAGTTGACGAATCACCTGAAGCAACCAGCCCCAAAGAGCCAAGAACCAAAGAGAACCCCTGCAGTTCAGACAAGGAACCACCGGAGAGCACTTCGAATGAAGCTGGATTGTAGAGCCCCAAGCTACCCAAAACTTTCGCAGCGAAAGCCAAACCGCCGCAAACTCCCGCACTGTGCTGTGAGGCTGACAGAAAGACAGTCCACCACCCCAGGCTGGCCTGGAGAGCACTGGGCACAAAGCCCCAGCCGAGAGACAAGGTATCCGTGAACACATCAAATGAGGGATCGGGGAGGCGCCAAGGCACTGAACCCCAAAAAACTCAAAGAGGAAGCCAGACACACAGCAACCAACGCAAGGCCCACGGGGGTGAATTCCTTCAGAAAAACCGACACCATTTACTAACATTTAATACAATAGGCAGATAATATTGCTGCTGTTTTGTTCTAACAAACTCATTCAAAGAAAACGAGGCTCCAGTGGAAATTTCCTTGGAAGAAAACGAGGGTATCATTGCAATATGTCACCATTAAATTCATCAGGTATAATAATGGGAATTCCTCTTAAAACTGCAGTCTCTGGACTGTAAACACCATATAACATTTCCCTTGAACGAACTTAATTATCAATACTAAAATAGATTAAATATAAAACCTCTTTCCACTTCTTGATAAAGCATCTGGACATGATGCTCTAATGTGTGAGTGAAGGAGTAGGCAGATGCCATATTAAATTTAACGTAAACATTCGTACTGGAGCAAGAATCAAGCTCCACAAATTTTTCCCTCTAGACGTAGTGTTATAAGATGTAAAGAGCACCCATTACCAACACGATCTTCGTCTACAATAAGGGAAATGTTCTTTATCCGATTCGAGTTCTATCTAGCTATTGTTGGCCAGTAATAATAGATTTAGGAATACCGGTTAGAACGCTAGCGAGCAACCCTAATAGGATAAATATTACTTAAATCTTATCAAATAAATTATAATATTTCCCCTGATATAGCCGTCATATATATAGGTTACGATTATTATTGAGTGCCCTTTGACATGTGTAATTGAAGGGGAAGAAGAATTAGTGCTAGCTACCTGGTACAACCAATAACATGTGATGAAGGCAGCCTCACCCACGAGGAGTATCGGTTGGCGTGTTCTCTCATGATCATATCTGGTTGCACAGGCCATAATCAACTACAGTGACACCTTGGCTAACGAATGCCCCTCTCTATGAAATTTTCGGGTTATGAGCCCAATTTCTTCGTAAAATCTGAATCGGGTTACGAACTTTGCCTTAGGTAATGTAGTTTGTTGATACACGTATGGCCAACCTAGCGCGTGCTGGTATGGCGACCGTGCCTCCCGCCTAGTGACAATTGTGCTTGAATTCCTTGTAAAGTTTTTTTGGATTTTTGGGTATTTGAACATAAAAGTTATTATATATTTCACAATAGGTCCCAAGAAAGTCAGTGGTAAGGTTCAACCTATGAAAACACATGTGATGAAGACCATAGAGGAAAAACAAGTATCTATGGAAAAGTTCTTAGCGAGACAAACAAGCACTGAGCCCCAACTAGGTCCTAGTGGTATGCCGGCAAAACGTAAGAGAAAGTACCCCATAGAAGTCATCACTGCCTGATGTTATAATGGAAGGGGACTTCCCTTCCAAACACTAAAAGGTGTTTCACTTTAACACTAAAAGGTGAAGGAGACTCCCCTTCCAAACATTCTGAAGATGACACCCCCTAGTGATAACACCTGCATCAGAGGAGCTCCAGGATATTTCATAATTCCTAAGTATTGTAGTACAGGTTGATGATAGTGAGTGGTGTCCCAAGGAACAAAGTTGTAGTGCTTTGGAAAAATAGGTGAGATAACACGAATGTGCAAAGTGAAGTGAAAAATGGAATGAGAAAAAGTGACCCTAGTCTTTACAGTGCAAACAACATTCAAGATGGCCACCGGCAAGAAGGAAAACAAAACAGAGCTAGATTTTGGGGGTTTTAATGAAGAAAGCATTGATATAAATAGTCTACACGACAAATTGGCAAAATTAGATATTATAGTGAACTATCACATAGAAATAATCAGCAAATTGAAAGAAAGTACTGTAATGAGCACTTGAGTAGCAAGGTTTTAGGTCTTGAGGGGTTAGTGAAAGACTTATGCAAGGACAAGAATCAATTGGAAACAAATTGCAAACCCATGGAAGAGGAAAATAAACTTAAAAATAGCTTTGGATTTTTAAAGCAAATTTAAACATAAATGATTACGATAGGTTAGGTAAAGAAATTCAACAGGAGAAACAGCTTTTGTCAGCACAGACGGAGGAAGTTACACAGGGAATAGAACAGTGCAAGAAAGATATGCAACTCACCTATGCACAAGTGGCCAAGGAGAAGGAAAAAATAGAAGAAGCAGTAAAGGAAGCCAAACACTGCAGCTTTATACACTCCAGGATAAAACAAACATTAGGCTGGAAGTGAGAAAGGAACTGGCATCAAATCCTAAATTGGTGCAAAACACAGTTGATCGAAGTCTCTGATAATTTTTGGTTGCAAAGAAAAGGAGATAACATCTAGGTCAGAAAGAGCTGTAGAAGAAGAGAAAGTAGTTGATAAAATTGTTGGCCTCGTGGAAAGTCTTACTACCATCGAGAATGTCTGCGACTACAGGATTGGAAAGTGCGTAAAAGGGAAAGATCGACCTTTGAGGATCACCCTGAATGGTGCCAAACAGATGGAAGAAGTACAGTACTAAGGAATGCTAGAAAGTTACAAGGTGATGAGGTAGGGAAAGTATGGTTGTTAAGACGAGATCTTTCAAAAGAAGACAGAGAGAAGCTGAAACTGAACCTCGTCGAGGCAAAACGTTTAAATGAGAGCAGGAATGAAGAAGAAATCAATTCTTTTTTTCTACAAAGTGATAGGGATAGGCAGACCAGTAAAGTGGTACATAAAGGCAAACCAACAAAATCATTAGAGAGAGGGGGAGTGAAGAATAAGGAGAGGGGAAACAAGTTTCTGAAAATTGCATACACCAACATAGATGGAGATAGATAAAAAATACTGGAGTTACGTGATGTAATACAGCTGCAGACAAGATATTGTTGCACTCGTGGAGACAAAACTTGAAGATGATATTTTAAATGAGGTCATATTCTTAAGACGCTACTCGGTTTGGAGACGGGACAGAAAAATTAGGAGAGGCGGTGGCATTGCTGTGCTGGTGAAAGAACACCTACAGGTAAACAAAATAACAATTGCAAATCCACAAGAAATTGACATAATAGCACTAGAGATCTGCAATCAGGATGATAAATTAACGATCATAAATGCATATAGTCCACCGCCAAGCAACACACGGACAAAGGAGGAGCTAGATAATAAACGAGAGGGTCTTATAACAATAATGAGATAAATTATAGCTAGAGCTGATAAAGATTGATCAAGATTGTTGGTAGTCGGTGACTTCAACTTGAAATTTATAGACTGGGAGGCATATGAAGCTAGAATGGAGGATTTTTGGACTTGTAGATTTGTAAATCTCATCCTGGAAACATTCATGTTTCAATGATGTTAAACAAGCTACGAGGATGAGGGAAGGGGATGTTCCCGCCATGCTGGATTTGATATTTACCAGGAAAGAGGAAGAGATATTTGACATTCAGTACCTCCCTCCCTTGGATAAAAGTGACCATGGCTTTTTGGGAATAAAGTACAGTATGTAATGCGTTATAACTTGGAAGAAAATGAGGTTGAAGCAATTGAAAAGCCTCATTTCAGAAGAGGTCATTATGGGGAACTCGGACATTTCTATAATTTAACTGGAAAGACTTGCTGTTAGGACATGAGGTAAATGAGATGTATGTCAAGTTTTGTGAAATATATGATAAAGGCACAAAAAAATTTATACCAAAGCAGATGCAGAATTAGGAAACAGGATTGGTTCGACAGAAATTGCAAGAGGGCCAGAGACCAAAAGACAAAAATGGAATCAATACAGGAAGAGACCAAACCCCCAAACATACCAGCGATACAAAGATGCGAGAAACAACTACACGACAATGAGGAGAGAGGCAGAAAGAAATTTTGAAAAAGGTATTGTGGACAAATGTAAAACAGAAACAGGTCTATTTTATAAATTTATAAACAACAAATTGCAGGTAAAGTATAATATTCAGAGGTGGAAAATGGGAAATAAATTCACGGAAAATGAAAAAGAAATGTGTGAAACATTAAACGAAAAGTTCCAAAGTGTGTTTGTACAAAATGAAATCTTCAGGGAAACAGACACAATAAGAATTTCAGAGAACAACATAGAGCACATAGAGGTGCCTAGAGATGAAGTAGAAAAAATGCTCAAGGAGTTAAGTAAGAATAAAGCAGTTGGTCTAGATGGAGTTTCACCATGGGTTCTGAGAGAATGTGCACCCGAGCTCAGCATTCCACTTCAACTGATTTTTCAGGCATCCCTGTGTAAAGTAGTTGTAGCTGATGTGTGGAAAAAGGCTAACATCGTTCCAATCTACAAAAGTGGCAGCAAGGAAGACCCTCTCAATTATAGACCTGTATCATTGACAAGTGTAATAGTCAAAATATTGGAAAAAATAATTAAAACTAAATTGGTAGAACACCTGGAGAAAAACGATATAATATTAGACAGACAGTGTGGTTTTCAATCTGGAAGATCCTGTGTAACGAATTTACTCAGTTTCTATGATCGAGTCAGAGATTTTACAGGAAAGAGATGGTTGGGTTGACTGCATCTATCTTGACCTAAAAAAGGCTGTTGACAGAGTTCCATATAAGAGGTTGTTCTGGAAACTGGAACATATTGGAGGGGTGACAGGTAAGCTAACATGGATGAAAAATTTCCTAACTGATAGAAAAATGAGGGCCGTAATCAGAGGCAATGTATTGGATTGGAGGAATGTCACAACTGGAGTACCACAGGGTTCAGTTCTTGCACCAGTAATGTTCATTGTCTACATAAACGATCTACCAGATGGAATACAGAATTATATGAACATGTTTGCTGATGATGCTAAGATAATAAGGAAGATAAGAAATCTAGATGATTGTCATGCCCCTTCAAGAAAACCTGGACAAAATAAGTATATGGAGCACCACTTGGCAAATGGAATTTAATGTGAATAAATGCCATGTTATGGAATGTGGAACTGGAGGGCATAGACCCCACATAACCTATAAATTATGTGAGAAATATTTAAAGAATTCTGACAAAGAAAGGGATCTAGGGGTGGTTTTAGATCGAAAACTGTCGCCTGAGGACCACATTAAGAACATTGTGTGAGGAACCTATGCTACACTTTCTAACTTCAGAATTGCTTTTAAATACATGGATGGCAAAATACTAAAGAAATTGTTCACGACTTTTGTAAAACCAAAGCTGGAATATGCAGCGGTTGTATGGTGCCCATACCTTATCTTAAGAAGCACATCAACAAACTGGAAAAGGTGCAAAGACATGCCACTAAGTGGCTACCAGAACTGAAGGACAAGAGCTACAAAGAGAGGTTATCTTCTTGAGGTTATCTTGAGATGATTTCGGGGCTTTAGTGTCCCCGTGGCCCGGTCCTCAACCAGGCCTCCACCCCCAGGAAGCAGCCTGTGACAGCTGACTAACACCCAGGTACCTATTTTACTGCTAGGTAACAGGGGCATAGGGTGAAAGAAACTCTGCCCATTGTTTCTCGCCGGTGCCTGGGATTGAACCCAGGACCACAGGATCACAAGTCCAGCGTGCTGTCTGCTCGGCCGACCGGCTCCCAGGTTAGTGGCATTAAATATGCAAAAACTAGAAGATAGAAGAAAAAGAGGTGATATGATCACTATGTACCAAATAATAACAGGAATCAATAAAATTGACAGGGAAGAATTCCTGAGACCCGGAACTTCAAGAACAAAAGGTCATAGATTTAAACTAACGAAACAAAGCTGCCAGAGAAATATAAGAAAATTCACTTTTGTAAACAGAGTGGTAGAAGGTTGGAACAAGTTAGGTGAGAAGGTGGTGGAGGCCAAAACCATCAGTAATTTCAAAGCGTTATATGACAAAGAGTGCTGGGAAGACGGGACACCACGAGCGTAGTTCTCATCCTGTAATTACACTTAGGTAATTACTAACACCTCTCCTCCAACCCCCCTTCTCACCGTCTTCCATATGCCAACAAGAGTCATTAATAAAAGTAAGCAATAACTTGTATGTACTTTAGTACTAAAGATTTGGATGAATTAGGTATAAAATTTACTTTGAAGCTAATATTTTTGGAAATGTGGAACTGATTAATTCAATTTACATTATATGGGAAAATTCACTTCGGTTTACGAACCATCTCTGGGGAACGGATTAAATTCGTAAGCTAAGGTACTACCGTATACAGATAAGCTGTATTTGTTTTAATTTTAATTACTAACATATGTAGTCTTAATATTGTAATGAATGTCTACTAATCAATAATTTTGTTTGATCGACTATACATATATATGTATAAATAATAAAAAACCCAGAATGTGTAGGAAATGATATGTGGGAATAAAATCATTCAGTCCACTTTAATCATCATACAGTCCACTATTGAAATAAATAAATTACCATATAAATTAATATATAAATATAAATTGTAAATAATTCAATAAATTCCAAGAGTTTGTTTCCCCCACAAATGCTGCAGTCATGAGAAAGGCGGAAGAGGCATTCCTGTAGAAACCAGAACAGACACCAACCTGTGCTGGTTTACCCGACCCGGCGGGTAAACCAGCACAGCAAAGTTCTTTCCCCTGCATAACTGCTCGAACAACCACCAAGTGACCTGGGACCCCTTCAGGAACAGCAGGAGCCAAACGATAAAATATACCTGTAGCCAGGCTACAGGTATATTTTAATGTTTTTTAATGTTTTCATCACTATTTATGATTTGAAATGAAAATGGTGGAGTTTTGAAACATTTTGACATTAACTTTACCTGAACATTTATAAAAACAACAAACATTATGTCCATAACACTTGCACTATGAAGTTTTTGCCAAAAACAGGTGCGCAGTGCAGGGGTTAAAGAGGAATCCCTGTAAAAACAAAACAATGGCTACTCTGGGCAGAAACAAAGTACCAAGAAACAACCAGGCGACTTTCCTGAAATGGCCTCTGCAGAGCTTGAGAATGTGGGTAGGAACTGGGTGAACAAGTGAGGGGTACCCTACCCCTCCAACCCTGTAGTAGTGACAGTGCTGTTATCTGGTTGCAGTCATAGTTATTAATTAGCAAACTTGCAGCTGGCAGAGATTTAACTAGCATTCCTTATGTTTCTAATTATTTGTCAGAGGGATCCGAGTTTTGGTTCCTGCTTTTTGGTGCAGGAACATTATTGTTCCTGTTTACCCTCCCTAGTTCCTGGCTCAGGGAGTGAGGGTTAGGTGGCTTGCTTACACTACAATAAAACAATAATTAGTTAAATATTTTAAAAAGTTCTTACCTGCTAATTTCTTCCATGGCAATAGCATAGGCCAAATAGTCCATTCCAGTTCCACCATACTCTTCTGGCACTGCCAAACCCATCAAACCTAGCTCCCCCATGGCCTTTATCTTTAAAAAAGGAATAACCTCTTAATCATGAGAACCTCATGCCTATATAATATAATGCAAGTGAAATAAAATCCACAGGTAAATATATTTAAACTGATATTAATATTGACTCGTTCAGCTGTCCACATTTTCGTTACTTCACATACAGTACAGTACTTAATAAATACAGTGGCGCCTCGATTAACGAGTTTAATCTGTTCCGGCATCGAGCTCATCGTGAAAAACTAGTCTTGTGAAACAACAACAAAACTGTCGTCGGAGGTGTCCGAGAACCAGCGGGAACGCTCGGTAATCGAGCGAAAGCTCGTCAGTCGAGACATATTTTCTGCGAGTGGCTTGCTCGTTACTTGAAATGCTCGTAACTGGAGCCGCTCGTCACTCGAGGTTCCACTGTGATCTGCTTAATAAATACAGTACAGACAGCCACTTGGTTTGCGAACTTAAGTTATCCGAAAGTTCCAGTTTCACGATTGGGGTTGGGGTTTCGCTCTTCCTGAACTAAGTTTGGGAAGCAAGGAAGAGGTCCGCCAGGCCTCACGCTGGCCCAGGGTGGTGGGAAGGTGGGTGGGAGATGGCCTAGTTTGCCCAGTGACCATGTCGAGCGCCACTGCTCTAGTGCCTTCTACCGTGTGACGTCACAGATTCACTGCCCATTGTTCCCATTGTTTTGATTTGTCACAAGGTTGGAGTGTTCATTCCGTGACTTTGTTGGATATATCTGCACAATCAAGGAACATCCGTGCACCATGTCGACTCCGAATGTGCGCAATGTGTCAGTGATGGCCGACTGGTGGGTAGATGGGCGGGCAGAATGGGCAGGCAGGCGGGCGGGGGGGGGGGGATGGGATGGCTAGCAGGCAGGGTTACCAGGTGGGTGGGCAGAATAATGTATGGATGGATGGATTGGTGCCCGACTGACTGGTGGGCAGGCTAGCTAGCAGGCAGGCAGGTGAGTGGGCTGGATGGGTGGGCAGTTTTGGATGGGTAGGTAGGTGGATGGATTGGTGGCCAGCTGGAAGGCAGGCAGGGTGGGTAGGTGCATGGACAGGGAGGATGGCTGGGTTGGTGGACCAGCTGAGTGACTGGGCTGGCAGGTGGGCAGTGTGGCTGGATGGATTGGTGGCTGACTGGCGGGCAGGTTAGGTAAGTTAATGGGTGGGTTGCTTGGCGGGCTGGTGGGCAGGCTCACTGGGTGGGTTTGGGTGGGTAGGTGAGCGGGCTTGGGTGGGCTTGGGAGGGTAGGCAGGCTTGGGTGGGCTTGGGAGGGTAGGCAGGCTTGGGTGGGCTCGGGCGGGTAGGCGGGCTTGGGTGGGCTCAGGCGGGCTTGGGTGGGCTCGGGCGGGTAGGCGGGTAGGCGGGCTTGGGTGGGCTCGGGCGGGTAGGCGGGCTCGGGCGGGTAGGCGGGCTTGGGTGGGCTCTGGCCGGCAGGTGGGGTTAGGTGGGTTCGGGTGGGTAGGCAAGCTTGTTAGGCGGGCTTGGGCGGGTTCGGGTGGGTTTGGACGAGTAGGCGGGTTTGGGTTGGATCGGGCGGGCAGGCAGACAATCAGACTGGCTGTGGTCACACCACATCCCCGCTACATCCTAATCCCCTCCCTATCCCCACACCTGACCCTCCCAGAAATATCCCCCACCCCTCCAGGCGCTTGTAGACGGTTATTAATATGGTTCAGATTCTCGGCTACCTTCCTACCAGATGGTGACCTTGGAGGCAGACTGTCCTGACTGACTGACTGTCCTGACTTACTTATATACAAGAAAGAACATTAGGTTTGTGAGTACATAATGTTGGTGTTTTGTAAACATCAGACTCGTGTTGTTTATAAACTGTGACTGGTTGCTACCACAACTGTGAATGCATAACAGCCTTTGACTAGTTATGACTGACTGACTTGTGATTGAATGCCTGACTGACCAGTACAATTTGTATATGAAGTTTTTGAAAACAAGATCAAAGGGAATGAAACAAATGTCAATTAAAATCTTTTGCAAAGGCTTTCAAGAAAGCTCGCATTGCGTCATCTGCACCTGACTCATCACACATTGACCCAAATGCATCAATATCTGAGGTTACCTTATCACCAGTATTCTCCACTTCAGTCAACCCAACACCATTAACATCCACCACTACCTCTTGCATGTAAATAACTATGTTACATCAACAATGATCGTCAACATAAGTGGATCTGGACTTCTTTTATTGGTGGATACAGACAAAATACTGCCGCATTTATGCTATGAACCTGTCGATTTCTTTCCTTAGATTTCCCCAACATTTCTCATTTACTGTATTTTTTCCTACATTTCTTGTTTAAGAACTTACATGGTAACTGACGGGTCTCATTCCTGAGGGGTTCGCAAAGCAAGTGGTCCTCTGTACTATTTCATCAATTTACTATAGCATGAAAAATTAATAATTAAAATTTATGAAACATATATGTACAACTTCATCACTACATTTTCCAGTTTCTGAACTGGATGTGCTTAACCAAGATCTTCTTGAGGTTATCTTGAGATGATTTCGGGGCTTTTTAGTGTCCCCGCGGTCCGGTCCTCGACCAGGCCTCCACCCCCAGGAAGCAGCCTGTGACAGCTGACTAACACCCAGGTACCTATTTTACTGCTAGGTAACAGGGGCATAGGGTGAAAGAAACTCTGCCCACTGTTTCTCGCCGGCGCCTAGGATCGAACCCAGGACCACAGGATCACAAGTCCAGCGTGCTGTCCGCTCGGCCGACCGGCTCCCTGATAATGATATCAGGGAGCAAAGATAATGACAATGATTATACAACCAACTAGACTGTCATGACAATAATTTAACAGCTCATGATTAATTAAATAACAATGATTATAAAAAGCTTGTGTGTTTAGTTTAGCTTAGCTTTAGTTTCATCTTTAGAAAATGCTGCTAAAGATGGATTTTGTGTAATGTTTATGGACAATTCAAAATCAGCATGTTTACACTGAACATAGCTTCTTTCTTATGAAACTAATTTGATTCCTATGTTAATAACAAACAACCTTGTAACAACTCACATGTTTCTTTGGGAAGAAACCCTCCTTATCAAACTTTCCAGCCAGAGGCTGTAACTCAGCTTCAGCAAAATCTCTACAAGTTTTCTTCAATATTTCATGAGTTTCTGGGAGTTCAGCCAGAATAGAGGAGTAACGAACAATGGACAGACATGATGGTGCAATAATTTGGGGTTGAGTTCTCCATC